TAATAATAATAATAATAATAATAATAATTTCAGAGTACTTTCTCTTCCATTAGCTCAAGTGTCTTAAGGAATTAACACTACACATAAACCACTCCTTGATTTATTTTACCAGTGCTATAGGCCTTCACACATAAAACATGAGGATTTGAGGGAGCTCTGGACACAGTTGTTCAACACTGCAAACACACAAATGCCTTTTCTTGAACATGTGCTTTATTTCTGCATTTAGCACTTCTTTCAAACAGCTTAAGCCAAGCTGAGCTCCAGCAGCCCAGTGTAATGAATTAAGCACCTCTGAACATTTGTTTGTAGCACCAGTTAAATTACTGATCCTGGTCCTTGCTGGACTCAGACAACAGGAAGTACTAGTCCGGTGCGGGCTTTGGGAAGTGAGGAGATGGCATCCATGAAGTTCCTGTGTAGACTTACTAGCTGTTGTCTCTTGTGAAATGGGCATGGAATAGCAGGGGATTGTGTAGCTTTCTCACTACTGCTCTGGAAAGCTGCCACTGTAGACTCTCCTGTTTCAATCCTGCTAACATGATACAGAAGAAGGAGTACTTGACTATCCCAAAAGACATTCATTTCATGAATGTTTATGACATTAATTCCATGATGTTTATGGATACTAATGTCTGTCTAGCACTCTATGATCTGTTCCAAATAACAGTTGTAAGTATGACATCAGATTCCTCTCTCTCAAACAGCGGGATGCTCTTCTCCAGCGGTTTTTGAGCTATGAATTAATTGTTATAAAATGCTACAACATTTCTGTCACAAATGTAGTGATTTCTGAATTTCATTTTGTGCTTGTCATTTAGGTAGGTGTCTCTCAAGCTAATCTTTGACAATTTCACCCCCTGCATAGATGAGTTTCCATGCTGTATGCATATTTATGCTTCTAGGTGCTATATACAATATTATTGAACACTTTCTGCTTTATGGTTGCTGTAAAAGTGTAGGATTATTTATAAAGAAGTTTGTATATCTTTCTTCCAAGAGGTAATTCTTTTTCTGGGTGTCATTAATGCACAGCCCAATTTACTTTTGAGTTTTTACTTATTTTACTCTGTGTTCATACTCCCTGTTCTTCTCATGTTACATTAAACTGTATAGAACATGCTATATTATGTATATAAATTATTCTTGTTTGATCTGATATTTTAACAAGGTATTTTTCTTTTTTTAGGTTTAGCCCAGTCAGGTGCATGGGGTTGCTTCGATGAATTTAACCGCATTGAACTTCCAGTTTTATCCGTAGCTGCTCAGCAGATATATATTGTACTTCAGTGTAAGAAAAATAAGAGACCTCAGTTCGTTTTCACTGATGGTGATGTTGTTGACATGGACAGAGAATTTGGTATATTTCTGACTATGGTATGTGTATGAGTATGTGTAAATGGCATCATTGTGAAAAATCTTTCCTATTTAATTTCTCATTGAAACTTCCCTCTTGAAATCATTGGAACTATTTGTTAGAAATAGTGAATATAATTTGAACAATAATTTGTTCAAATAATAATGATGATATTTTCTCTTGCCCATATTTTTAACTGGAATTTAGGACTTAAGCTATGCAATTATCATTAACTACATATTTTAAGGGCTTTTTTAGTTGAATATTTGACAGATTGAGACTAAACCAAACAATCTCATATTTTTAGTCTAAGCCTATGAAAATAAAACGGAAGTAATTGACCACTGCATGGGCTACTGTAGTTCGTCTGGTCAGTGTTTCACCACCTGTGAAGAACTTTTGACCACAATCCTTCTATATGACAGCATGAAAGAAACTACCCTCACTCTGGTTCACTGGCCTCATGAAGATTTATCTATGGCACCTGTGACTGCTTCTAGCAGTGCAGGAGGCAAAGCAGCGGGAAAATGTGAGAATATCTTAAAAGCCTCTTTGTATCTCTTCCTCCTTAGCTGTAGGCTACATACCCACAACTCAAAAAGGAAGCATTTGTCTTTATTTTAAGGTTTTCTACCTTTGAAAAGATGTGAATGTTATCACCTTAATTTGAAAAAGAGGACAAATCAGTAGCATGCAAAGGCCAGTAGAAAGGCAGCTTGGAAACAGCTTGAAGAGTTTAAGAAGTTATCACTGCACAGCCAGTGACTACGGTTCTCGCAACTGAGCCGTGCAATAGTCACATGAATGACTTAGAAATCTTCAATGAAAGGTCACATCCGTTAGTTTAAATTATATTCAGTAATGGCTTACACTACTTGACTGACTTTGCACTGAAATGGTCTGAGAATGCTCACAAGGGACAGTAACCTCCTGCACTAGAACACTATCAAAACCCTGAGGAACTAACCATTTAAAACAGCTCCAACAAGATCTGTAAGTGGTTGTCTGTCCATGTCTATGTGTCTTGGACATCTCCAGATAACATGTGCGATACCACATACTTCATGAACTGCAGTATTTAGGCAACTATGTAGTAATGTGTAATTATAACGTGCTCAAATTACCCTTTGTCATCTGGCATGTGCTCCTGTGTTTGCCAAATAATTATCAGAAAAGATAAACCTTCTTATCCTGCTTTCATTATATAATGTTTTATTTTGTATTTTGCAGAACCCCGGCTATGCAGGACGACAGGAGCTTCCAGAAAATCTCAAGATTCAGTTTCGCACAGTTGCTATGATGGTGCCTGACCGTAGCATCATTATGCGAGTCAAGCTGGCAAGTGCTGGTTTCCGAGAAAACCAAGTCCTTAGTCGAAAGTTCTATACACTCTACAAACTCTGTGAAGAGCAGTTATCTAAACAGGTAAAATAAATATTTGTCCAACTGTCAGCTGTCACTGGAAGGGTATGTAGAATATATATTTTCATCAAATATATAATCACTTTTACACTCCTTTCTTTCTTTTGAATTACTTTCTTTTGTTCCAGAAACAGAGTCTGAAATCATCATATTGTTTTCATTTTTCACACTGATTTGTGTAGTAAAGGAAGTTTGATTTGTGATTTTTAAATAGAGTGCAGTTATTGGAGGAGCTGTGAGGAACAGTGTATATTGCTTTGCTGAACTTTGCAGAGGACATGTTCTTCAGTTTCCTCACTTAGGAAGGCTAGATCTATTGGAGAGGTGGTGTAAGAATTGTAATTAACTGAAGAGTACCTAGAAAACACTGTCTTTCTGAGTGCTACCAGAAAAGTGCTATTCTGTTTGGTATGGGGTATTTGAGTAGAAACAAAGGATAAAACTGCTTTCAAAACCAGAACTGGTTGCCTTTTGAATGCTCTGTGCTCGCTGTCCACTAGAGGGTCTCCAAGAGAAATCATATGAATGGTAGGTAAATTGCAGCTCAAATGCCTGTTCTAGTTAGATCCTAATGAAGCTGGGAATGTTGACTACATTCTCCGTTATATTATTTCAGTCCTATACCATATATTTGTTAGTGACTACATTGACTTCCATGTAGAAATCTTGGACTACGCCAGAATAAGATAATGGTGCATCATATTCCCTCATTATTTCAGAATTTTTTAAAAAAAGTAGATTTGGATTTTCTCTTCCTTTCTCCAATGCGTCTGTAATTTCACTCTCAATATATATAAACACCTGGATTTCGAATTTCATTTCTCTCAGGTTTCTTTTTCTGGGAGACTTTTACTCACCTGTTTTATGTTGTAGACTGACTTCTGAGGGGTCATATTTGCTATTGACTTCCCTTCTCATTGCATCAGTTTGTGTGGTCATTTTTGTCCTGGACATGATTCTTTCCTTCACTGTGGAAGAGACATTTAAGCAGGCATCAGAAATTCATCCATCTACCCCTGCAAAAATGCTTTGCTTGTTTTGTGTTGCCACAGGTGTTGGAACTGTTTTGCTCCTGGACAGAGTACTTAAAAATAACACACACACTGAAACAAAACTTAACTGTGTACAAAACTTATTTTGCCTATCTTAATGGTGTACAATATTTTGTACATGACTGTTGCTGCATCTGCACAGAGAGTTTCTATGTGTAGTTTGGTCATTTCTGCAGCAGAAACTGCTCTGTAGTCTCTGAGCAAGATTCTCCATTCAGCATGTTAATCAACATACTGAGGCATCTAAGTAGTGCTTATCAGTTGGCCTAGGGATCATAGGAACTGCCTGGATGACTCTGTGGAACTGTTTGAAATCCTTATCTGGAGAACTCCTCTACCAATTAGTCAAATGCTTTGTTGTGAAGGCATGTAGCTCAATCACCTTGTCTCAGGTTAGTCCTTTGTCTCATCTATGCTGATGCTAGCAAGGGAGTCCCTTGCTATTAACTAATGGAAATTAATGACCAAGTTCTCTGGACATGCACATGGGCACAACCCTCACACCCACCTGCATCACAATTATATATTCAAATATTATGCTTATATCTCACTTACAACTGAAATTCCATAGTTCTTACTATACAAGCCATGATGTCTATGTGGAGCAGTCTTTCATATGTATTTATAATTTCTTCAGGACCTTCTAACATTTCTCCAGTATCCATCAGATGCTAATCTTTGCTCCTAGTGGTTTATATCGTGGATTGTGATTCTATGGTCTGTAATATGAGCCAGGAAGCATTGCTTTCTGCAAACCCATGGTAGTATGCTAGTTTGTTTGGCCTGTGCCTGTCAGCAGCCCTTTGGACAGTTCTGCTCTTTTATAAATCCATTATATACAATTATAAAATCAGAGAAGAACTGAGTTTGGAAGGGACCTCTGGAGGTCAACAACTCCTATACTTGTGTTCAAAGTGGGGTCAGAGAGAGCAGGTGGCTCAGCAACTTGTCTAGGTGAGCTTTGAATATCTCCAAGGATGGATGCTGCACAGCCTCTCTAGTCAAGTGTCTGATCACCCTGTCTAGTCACCATTTTTGTCTGTGAGGATGTTGAGACAGTGTTGAATTCTCCTGGAATGCCTCTACCCTGCTGTGTTCCCCTTCCAGCAGATATCAGCGTGTGTCAAGCCCACAGTGGGGACCAGAGCTTGCAAAGATGAGGCTAATTCCGGTTGTTGGAGGAAAGTTTCATCAGCTTCTCCCTCATTGGGAAGTTTGCAGCAGACATCTGCCACAATGTTAATCAGCCCTCTAATCCTAACCCAAATGCTGTCAACGGGCTCATCAGCCATTCTAAGGCAAAGCATTCCCACTCTCTTTCACTTTAAAGGGCAATTCCCCATCCAGTCCTCCTGGCTTGTCTTCCTGAAGAACCTGTATCCATCTGTTGCAGCACTGCAGTCTCGTAAGCTATCCTACTACATTTCTGTCATCCCAGTTAGACTGTAGCCCTGTAGCTGCACACAGAGTTCTGGTTTTTCCTGTTTTGTTCCTGTGCCATGTGCATTAGTGAACAGGCACTTCAAATTGGCACCTACTTGTGCTGGTTACCAAAATAAAATGTGAGAGCTTCTGCCATGATGTTGTCCTCTTGGCTCTTCCTTATCTGTATGCATACAGTTGAGATGGGCTACTTTCCACACTGTTTTGTCGTTCTTGATTTCTCTTGTCCACGTTAGAATGCATCTTTTGTTTCTCACTTGAGTCCCCCACCACATCCCCCTGAAGTTTGTTTCAGTTGGGAAATACATCTGATGTGTTACGTGATTATATGTAGAGAGAGACCTGATGAGTTCATCTGATTAGATATGGGAGTCTCATGAACTGGAGATATTTCTAAGAGTACAGTGGGACACAAATTGCTTCTGTCTAGCCAGAAAACTGAAACTATAAAGTACAGACAGGCTTTCTTGGAGGCATGTTAATCTGTCTTTCCCAGTGGAACTTATTTATATCTTTTGTGATAAATTTTAAATTTGAAGGAAGTACTGCTGGGTATCCAGGAGCTGACTGGAAAGAACAGGGTCACATAAAGAATCCATGCAATAGGAAATGGCAGAATGTTGCCTGTTTTCAGAAATGCAATAATCATCAACAGAAGAAAATAACAACAAACATTCACCAATTGAACTCACCTCCCACAAAATCTAAAAGGAATTTGCCAGAAGGAATAAATGAAGTCCTCCAGACTACACACACCAACGCAGCCTCTGTAGAAAGAGGAACTCTGCCTCACAAGTAGCCAAAGGCACCCTGAGTGACTATCATCTCCTTCAGTAAAGAAAAACATACAAAAGTAAAAGTATAGTCCTTAGAAAATATAGAAAGCCTAAGGTGTCCACAAACCTGTGAAATAGTTAATTCTGACAGAGCCTCCAAAGCTGAATTATTTGCCTTTGTTACAGGACTTCTAGCCAAAGTTCCCTACTGCCTCCTTCCTCAGAGACTCACCCAGGTTAGGGAAAACCATAGAAACTGAAAAGAAAAACCTAACAAAGCTGGAAAGCAAACGAGGCCATAATCCCTTTTTGAGGATCATCTGTTTAAGTTGCTTTCATATGGAGCAAACCACTGATAACCCTTTTTTCTTTCCCCAGAGCAGCAAACTATGCTTCTAGTGTTGAGATTTTTATTGGCAGATTTTTAATTCTTCCTTACAAGGGCATCAGCTATACCACTTCAGTCCATTTGCCCAAGTGCAATCTTTTGCCTGCTGTTATAAGACGTAGCAAAGAAATAGTTCACAATCCACATTTGCCAGTAAACTCTAGCTGTTCTGTACTGTTCCTGAAAGACAAAGTAGTTGTAAAACTAGCAGACTGATAAAGGAAAATAAATGATAGCCGCTTTGAACCACCCATCGTGTAGGTCAGTTGGAATGCACCAGAAAGCCTGTCTTTAGAGGTCATTTTAGCTTATTTAAAATTTTCTAATAGGTATGACGGTATTCAAATGTAACAAAGTTGTTACTTCTATAGAATCATAGGCTTGTGCAAGTTGGAAGGGACCTCCAGAAGTCACCATGTCCAACTTCTAGTTCAACACGGGTCAATTTAGTGCAGGTTGCTAAGTCAGTTGTTGAGTGTTGAATATCTTCAAGGATGGAGATATTCAGTCTCTCTGGGCACCTGTTCTGTGTTTGACCACTCTCATTGTGAAGAATCTTTTCCTTATGCAAACTGTTGCAATTTTCCCTGTTGCAAATTTTGACCATTGTCTCTTTTCCTCTCACTTGTTCATCCTTTGCTGGACTCATTTCAGTATGTCAATGATGGTCATCTAGCATGGAGAAAAAGAAATATATCAGCCCTTGTCATGATTATGGATATTTCACTAGGACGTATCATTTACTAAATCATATCAGACTTCATCATGAACATATAATCCACCTTACAAACTTCACGCGAAGTTGTGAATATTTGTCTTAATGTTTCCATCTGCAAATGAGAATTCCTGGCAGTACCTGGCTGAATATTCATATCTAACTTTTTCAGCTGATAACAACTTGGAACCCGATTGAATAATAGGAAGCAAAGCTGGACTGAGCCTTCAGGGGTTATCCATTTACTTTTCTGGAGGAAAAAAATTCTTAGCTAAATAGTTTGCTATAAATGTTTCTGACTCTCCTTAACGTTTTCCATTGACAAATAGCCTGCAGTTTCCCAGGCAATCTGTTCCAAAGTTTCATTTTCCTTATGGTCACAAAGTTTTCTCAAAGAGTTAACTTGAATCTACCTTGCTGTAGTTAAGCGCATTACTTCTTTTCCTGTGTATTCCTTCTGTTTTTCTCTTTGCAGGTACTTTTTATGTGTTGGAGACTTTTACTGTAACTCATCCTACATATTTGCTCTTCCTAATCCTACAGTAGATTTTGGTTTACTTCTTCCTGATAATACCATGTTTTCTAGTCAGCTGATAACTTTAATTTCTTTTCTAAATTCTCTTCAGTAGAGTTCTTCTTCAAGTGTGGAATCTAGCTTTTGGGCACAGTATAGAAGTGCCAAATGCCATGGAAATGTCTTTTCAACTGTCCTAAAAAAAGGACATGTCGCGGACTGCCTGTGTCTTCTTCCGATGGGTCGCAACCAACCGACTGTTGCGACCACAAGGTATTCTACAATCAGAAGGCTCTTCTAAACTCACTGCTACCTTAATCCAACAGAGAGCTCCAATTCACGCTCTCCCGAGGGCTCCTACCTCTCCAAACTCCAGGAGGGAAATGCCCCACTCCCTCTTGGGAGTGCCCCACCTTTAAACTTCCCATAGGTCACGTGGTCTCCGGCCAACCAACGTGACTCAGCACCTGTCTTGATGAGGCACAGGTGCTTCTCATGTAGCAGCCGGGAAACTTCCCCGACAGGACACACTTATTTTTGTTGCCTACTATAATTGTAGATATGTCATTGGGAAGTCTGTGGCTTCAGTCCAATGTTCGATATGTTTCTGCAAAGCTTTCTGCAACTGAGTGCAGAAACAACCTGAGTTGTTACTCTTCTTTATTTGTGCAGTTGGTTATTTCTATCTGTGTAGTATTTTGCACTTGTCTTTATTTAATTGCATCATACGTAGATCATTTATTGAATTTCTCTTGGTAATTTTGAACTCTAGTTGTGGTCTAGTTCACCAGCTTAGTATCATCTGTAAACTTAATCAGTAAGTTATTTCTTGCTGAAAATTCTGGGTTGTACTCAATATATTGTTCCAATTTGTCAGCCTGGGAAATAGGTGTGGGGGCTGGGGGGAAGGCATTGTTTTAATTTTGTCTTTGTTTCCTACCATCCAAATATATTCTAGTTGGCCGTAAATTAAATTAATTTTGCCCAAGTCTGTTTTGCTCATGATGGTAATTGGTAAATGTTCTCCCTGTCTTTGTATCGACCCGTGGGCTTTCTTTTCAACTTCTTTTCTCCCTCTGTCCTGTTAAGCAAGAGGAATGAGTGAGTGGCAGGGTGGGTGTCTGGAAGCTGGCCAAGGTCACTGCACAACAGATACTGTAAAAAAAAGTCTACGTACTTGGTCTCAAAAACATTTCTGATCAGAGGGAGCAGATATTATTTGAATGTAAGAATATCTTTATTATCTCCTTCAATGTCTGTCTTTACCACTTAAGTTTTCCGAGCAGTTGGCGTTAGTGGAGACCTTGTAACTTAAAGTCTTTACCCTGATAGCTTTCCTTCTAGGATTTGTATCAACAGTCAAGGAGGAAACACATCACAGAACATTTGCATATATTTTCAAATCTATGTTGACTAAAACAGAGTTGTATGTTCAGGTACAAGTGCTAAAGTTAGTTGAAGATGTCTGTATGGCTCTGCAGATGTGCAGATTTTAAAGTGTTTGATCTTTGTGGTACCAATTGTGTTTATGCATTATTTCAAGGTTCATTATGACTTTGGACTTAGAAACATCCTGTCTGTTTTAAGAACGCTTGGAGCAGTGAAAAGATCTAATCCCAAAGAGCCAGAGAAAACTGTTGTGATGAGAGTTCTGCGGGACATGAACCTCTCCAAACTGGTACTGTAACACTAGTGATTTTCCCCAGAAGAGTACTTTGTTTGCGTTTTTAAGTGTGTATATTATGCACTTTGCAAAGATCTTTTTCTTCAGCAGCTGGATACATTATTCTGCGTTTTTTAATATGGCCTATCAATGAGCGGAGAATCCAAATACAGTTACGGTGTGAGCACTTTTAAAGAGAACAAAACACATCAGAAGCCTTAGCTGAAAAAATCATTGGAAATACCATCAGAACCTAGGGGAAATAACCTGATTCTCTAATTGGCTCTTGTTTTTTCTGCTTTCTGCCCTATTTAAGGAGAGAAAGGAACAATATACTGTATTAACTTTTAATAATGTCATTAAAGATCCTTCTTAATCCACAATTTCAATTTATGAATTTCTTGGGAGTCTGTTGCCTTTTCAGAACATCATAAGAATTGCAACAAGTGAAGTAATTGGAAGCAGCTAATGCCTACTTGTATAGCCTAATCTCTTTCAATATTACTATTTAAATCATTCATCTTTCTTTTCATTGCTATAATTGAAAGGTTACAGCATGTCTAGACTCTATGTATTTACCTTGGGAGCCAGTTTTGTGATGGAACCAATTACTCTGTTTCTGATGTTAATCTATTCAGCGCATTGGTACATGCGTTTAAACCTATAGGCATGCTTCAGTGATTTACAGAAGGAAGAAAATCATAAAAAAATCCAAGGCAAAATATGATTTTAATAAATCTCACTGGCTTATGTAACAAATGAAGAAATGTGTGTGTGTGTGTACAAATTGAAGAAAATATTTTTACAAGCTTTAAGTATTTAATTTAGAAATGATTACTTGTGATTGTATTGTGTGAATTCATTCAATAAAACTGATTCGTAATTATAATATTTGCTTTGGAAAAGATAAGGTTTTATACTGCCATCTTTTAAATGACATAGCCTTGAAGATTGTTTACAGCCGTAATAATAATTTCGATGAATAAATAATGTATTTCCTCTACTTTATCCTTGACAGGTGGATGAAGATGAACCTTTATTTATGAGTCTCATTAATGACCTATTCCCTGGAATTACTCTGGATAAAGCTGGGTATCCTGAACTGCAGTCAGCCATTCAGAAACAGGCAGAAAAAGCAGGGCTTATTCATCATCCACCATGGATACTTAAACTCATTCAGCTGTATGAAACTCAACGAGTCCGACATGGTTAGCATGCTAGATGAGGTTTCGAGACTGCATAAAAGCAATAGTTTTTTATATTCTCTGCTTCAGAATGCAGATTACTTTAACAAAAAATGTGTTTTAAAATTGAACAGCTGTCATTTTTATAGCGTATGTGGATATTTTGCTAGGAAACTGTTCTGACTTTTTTGTGTGTGTGCAATGCACGCATAGTGAGATTTTAGCTTTGTTGTATTATGTTTTTATGGGAAATATGAGTGTGGCCCCTTCAGTGACTGAAATTTCTATGGAGCAAGTTAAAATGTAGAGCATACATTAAAATTCAGAAAGAGATGATTTTGTTCAGTGTTCTGAAAACAATTGTTGCCCTCAGACAGTTCAGTCATGAAGCTCATGTTTAGTGTTACTGTGAGATTATGATGCTGAGATTACAAAAAATAATCTCTCAGACTTTTACTTTGATAGAGTCTACCAAGCATGCAGTATAATTCCAAGTGTTGTTCTTTCTTTTAAATTTTGGCCATTTCAACTGAAAAGAAATAAGCCTACCTCCTGCTGGACCAGAGAGGTTGGACAAGATGGCCTCCAGAGGTCCCTTCCAACTTCAACCATTCTGTGATTCTGTGAAAATATATTTTTACAGTGCACAAAAGGCTAATGAGTAAAGTTTATCCTGTCCTAGGAAAGGTATCAAAGACAGTAGCAAAACCAAGTTTACAGTTCATAGCTGAAGGGAAAAAAACCCAACAACTGTACTTTGAAATGTTCCCCACTCCCCCCAACCTCTAACAACTAAGGATTTTTTTTTTTATATAAAGGAGAAAATATAAAGGAAATGTAACTGAAGTAGCAAAGATTTTGAAGATATCATCCTTTTTTTCCTCCCTTTTCATGTGATATTAAGAGAATAGCAAGCTTAAACTAATGGAAGAAATTAAAGGAAATACTCATTTGCATAGCACAGCCTGAGAGTTTAATGTCTCAAAGGTTTAGTTCAGGTTGTTGGTTAGACCAAAGAACTGGTTAACACTGTGCCGACTTAATAATTTACATCCAGATTGTGGAGTTCAGTATTCCATATCAAATCATAACACCTATATCTATGTGGGAACCATGGAAGTTTTAATGGTTTCAGTCATGTACTTCTTGTTAAAAGAAGCTGTTTGGTCTATGAGACACCACAGACCACTGTTCCCAAAAAATCTCTGGGATCCGCTATGGCTTTCTGCTTAGATGCTTCTTCTTTCCATGCGCTCCTGCTATTCCCAGGGGTCATGCAGCTCCAATTGGCCTAACACCCGGATGCCAATGGCCTTTCTATGACACAACTTACTGCATGGAGGGAGAAAGATCTCTGTTTTCCTGACTTCCATTTGTCCTGCTCATGGACGCTTGGATTTATGGAGAAGTCACCATGGGATTTCAAGCAATGAGGAAAAATATGTAAAATTCATTACTTCTCTTAGTTGAATTAGGAACAATATATGCAAATTGAGTGCTCATGCACACTCATACACAGGTGTGCATGGAGATTCAGTGCATGGATCTTGAAATCTCTTTTGCGTAACAGTTTTAATCCAAATATTGTTGAAACCAGCAGAAAGGCCATTCCATTAATATTGAGGGGCTTGGATTAGATCTCCCCATATGAAACATGCGGCATGAGTAAGTGATTGTCTGGATGCCTAAACTGTTTTGGGGAGCATTCATCTCCCTTTAGTTTTAGAGGCAGTCTGCATTATACTGGATTAGGTTTGTAACTTGGGTTTATGGTTATTTGTTCCATACCTTTGTTAAAGATGCTTTCAAAGCCAGCTAAGGATTATGTTGTCCAGTTTCCTCTAGGGTTGATAGGAGTTATCTAGCTCCCTTAGCTGACTTTGGAAATCTCAGTTTGAATGTCCCATCTGCTTTTGGACAGACTCTTGAATAGTTGATTTAGAAAATATAATTAAAAAGGATCAACTGTAAGCCAAATTTATTGTTGAAGACATGACTTCTTGTCCTTAGGCGATATGTGTATACACTGATGAAATTAAAAGTGTGGCTGCTGTTAACTGTTTTTTTATGTAAGAAAAATGTGTTATAATGTCAGCATGAATGGATACAGGTACATATTTTTGTTATTTTTGCTTCAGGAAGATACACTCAATTTTGTATATCATTTGGAACTACTGATTCTCATTAAATATATTTAGAAATTACTGGGTTTGTTTACCACCAGTCATGTCAATGTCATTGCCTGCGAATATCAAAAGGCCGTTGTGTTTTCCAATTAGAAAAAGGAACAGAACTGCCTGAGGGAGGATACAGACCCACATAGGCTTGCCTATCGTAATAGAGCAGAGGCCTTTTAATAATATTTTTAAATTCCGTTTCAGTCAACTTTGAGTAAGTGGAGTGAGAAACATCTTTTTTTGTATTGGCTTTTGATAAAAATAAAACAAGGATCATTGATGCAAGGAACCATTAAATGATAGCATGACATTTTAACATTTCATTTTAAACCATGTTTGTATTGTTTTAAGGTATGATGACTCTAGGTCCAACTGGTGCAGGAAAGACAAAATGCATTAATATTTTGATGAAAGCAATGACAGATTGTGGTGCTCCTCATAAAGAGATGAGAATGAACCCAAAGGCTATCACAGCTTCCCAGATGTTTGGTACCCTTGATGTTGCCACAAATGACTGGACAGATGGTATTTTCTCTACATTATGGAGAAAAACTTTAAAAGCAAAGAAGGTAATGGATATTGTATCACGATAGTAATACTGTTTCTGTAAGGTCTAATTACCTGTCATTTATGTGAAAGATCTTACATTATAAAATCAAATGGGAAAATACAGTATTGGTTTTACTTTGTGTCTGCATAGCTCAATGTATGCCAGACTCACAATTACGTGTATACGACAGAGAGCACTAGGCTTCCCAAGGATTTGACGTTCCAGAATTAAACTGGAAAAGATCTTAAGGGTTTTGCTTCCTTCTGTAAGCAGGTAGTCCTGCCATTCAAATGCAAAAGCAAAGCCTGTTCATGTTTTGTTGTGAGGACAGGAAAGTTAGTTTTCTCTTGTCTGGTTTTATGTCGTTGTCATTCTATTTCACTATTATATCAGAATGTGAGAGACTTTGGTAAGAAATCAGTGCAGGCATTTCCCAATTCTCTTATCAGACCTGCAGATGATGTTTCATGGAATCATAGTTACACTCAAATCTTCAGAAGTTTCATTCAATTCTCTCTTGGAAAATGGGAATCCTTACATGAAATACTTAGGTAACATCCCACAAAGACTGACTGTGTGACTGTGTCTGTGACTCTGTTTAATGGGAAATGTTTTCATCCACCTTGATGGATGCTGAGCTCACTGATGTTCTTCTGTAGAAGGAAGGGACAGCTTTATGCTTAGAGCAGCCCAGATTAATTTTTGTCACCATTCCTTAATATCCTTTTTGGTGTGACAGAGGATAACAAAAGAAGGATTAAAATCACTGAACAAATTATAAAAACTGCAGTTCATGATGAGCTAATCAGCACCAAATTATGACTCATTTTTTTGTATCCAAGAGTATATTCTCTGAGATTAAATAAATGTGTGATTTTGGTCCATGTATGTAAAAGTGCTTGTGTGTATGTCTCCTTTTTTTTAGGGTGAGCATATCTGGATAGTTTTGGATGGACCTGTTGATGCAATATGGATTGAAAATCTAAACTCTGTTTTGGATGATAATAAGACCCTTACTTTAGCCAATGGAGATCGTATTCCGATGTCTCCCAGCTGCAAAATTATTTTTGAACCTCACAACATTGACAACGCTTCCCCTGCAACAGTTTCTCGTAATGGGATGGTCTTCATGAGTTCTTCAGTATTAGATTGGAAGCCTATTTTAAGAGCTTGGCTGCAAACTCTACCTGTTACATACTCTGATGTCCTATGGAATTGCTTTAATGCTGTGTTTCAGGTACTTCAACAACTGGAGAAAAAAAAAATATTGTCTTTCTTATTCTTTAATGAAGCATTGTTTCTTCGTCAGTGCTTTTTGAATTATTTACTTCTCTTTGTTTGTGCAATAAAGTAAGGATGAAGGATTTTAAAAAAAAAAAAGAGAGAATTATCTCTAACATCAATGAATGAGTGAAACTATAACAGATTAATAATTTCGATACTCTGTTTTGTCCGCATAAGTTAGTTGGCAATGAATTGTTAAATCTGTGATTATTTTATAATGTATGTTGGCAAGACAGAGGTATTCTCTTTGACTGTAATTGTTACTGAAATTTTAATTCTTGTTAGGATACATAAAGGGAGTGGATTTTGTTTGTTTAAAATGTAAAGAAGTAAATTTGGAAAAAAATTAAGCTAGATTCACTCTGGTGGAATCTTTCTCAATTTTGGCTGCAACAGGAATTCATTTGGCTTATTAGTGATTTTTAAAAGACATTCTATAGTTCATATTAATTAAGGGCAGTTCTGTGCTCTGTGGTGTTCTGAAGCTCAGTGCATGTGACTATAGTGATCTCTTCTGATTTTATAATCAATGATTCTGTTCTGAAGGAGATTTTTGAGATGGCATCTCTTTGATACATTCTCTGACTAAATGGTGTTCAATTGGTAGATCCAAAGGGAGAATTCTGAATGTTTTTTCCCCTCCATTTGGCCTTAGCATACTGAATCATTAAAAAGGTTTCACTATTGTTATTATGGATGGTTATACTCAATAGAGGATCTAAAAGCATAATCTCAGGAGCGTATTGTTTTCAATTACACCAAAATTCTTATTTTTCCTTTGAAATTTTTTAAAGAAATAGTTATTGCTTTGCGCTTTTTCAGCGGTTATCTTCTGATTTCCTCAACATTGGTGGAACAAATGCAACTTCCTTATATACGTTGCTTTCCCATTGGCTCTCTCCTACCAGTTTTCTTCTGTTGGATTTCACAGGGCTTTCTTGTTGTTGGATTTTACAAATACAGGTTTAATGAACTTTGAGTGACATTTCAGAAAGTTTACTTATAAATCATGATAAAAGCAATGATTGATGCAGTTTTTGAAGGCCCTGAATGTTAACAAATGTCTTCTTACAGAAATGTTTCATTTCAGTGCCCATTTACTTTAAAACCAGTGTTTAACAAGCTATTCATTTTGTTCTACCTCCAAAACATAATGATATGACATAGTATTTACTGCAGCAGCAAGAGAAACAGTTCTGATAATGAATTTTAAAATATGTTTCCAAAGTAATGTATATGTGGGTCAATTTACTGCTTCTTTGCCACAGTTCTATTTATATTTAATACTACAACTTGCTCTGAAAACATAATAACAACATTTAAAATACACAAGCCTGAAGCAATAGCAATAAAGTCCAGAAAATATGTATTTTATTAGACTGAGAGATGAAAAAGCAGTGAAATATGAAGTTAGTTCTGTGCTGAAGGCTGCATTTGGAACTATCGAAATGTAAATGAAAGCTGTCACGCTGTCAGCTTTCTTTCACTTTTAATGAGATATCTTTGTGTCTCAACTAATAGAAGTGATAACAGTGATTTTACAGATGAGAGTAACACTACTTTTGTATTCAGGTGGCTCTTTTTATAGTTATTATTTTCCCCTACATAAAAAAGAATGAATAAATAAATTCTAAAAGAAAATTTGTGAAATAAGATGCGTCAAGAGTGGTAGTCAAACCCCAAATGCAGAGCTTGGTAAAGTTAATGCTATTATTAAGAAAAGCATGGATAAAAGCTTATAAATATCTGATTTTTAGAGGAAAATGAAGATTAAGCTATAGATGGAAATATAGTAACTAAGGAGAATCAGTCTTTCAAGTATGCCTATAGAGGCGTTTTGAAATCAATCTAAATTCAACCAAAATAGATATAAGACAACTGCTATAGTAGTGCCAATTTGCTTACAAGAAACACTCATTATTTATACTAATAAGAATAGTATTTGTCACCAAAAGTCTGCATATTGAATAAAATCATTATTAATGAAGGTAGAGTAAGTAGCAATAATGCAGAAGGAAGCACCAGAGAATAATAGTTGTGAATCAGTGGAAAGAATGTGTTTGCTTTTTTTCATGTATATTATAAATTCCACTGTAAGTCACTAGTTTTTATATAAAAGACAGGAGGTAGTCCAAAAGACAAGGATAAATTTAAAAAAAACCCAACACACCCCAAAACAACCCCTGCAAAACAACCTTCTTTAGAACTGAGATTATCTTTGAGTTTTTTCTATTTTCACAGGATTTTTTTTAAATGACAGTTGAGGGGTTGGACTTTCACTCTCCCTTTCATAGTTCTTTCTTCTCAGCAACATTTCCTGCTTAGGAGTAATTTCAAGTAAACTCCCATCCCCGTCTAAAGTAACTAACTCTCTTTAATCTAGAAGCTATACTGCCAATTTCTTGTCTGTAAATGATGCTGCTATCTGTAAGCAACAGAATTGCTTCGCTGATGGAAGTAATTATCTGAGACAGTTTCAAAGAACTGAAATAATTAAAATAATTACCTGAGTGGTGTTATTTAGTTTGTCTGCAAAGTGTGACGCTCAAACTAGTGATGGATGCTGTGTGAGTAAGATAAGTTTCAGCATGTCTATATGTTGTTTAAATGAAAAAAAATCTAGTAATTTTTAATTCACACTCGCTCTCCCTTTTTTTTTTTTTTTTTTTTAATATTAAATCTAGTGTCCTGGATCCCTTATTGACCTATTATGGAGACTTCAGAGAATTCCTAAAAGCAACAGAGTAGTCAGATGTGACTTATTCCTCTCTCCACATTAAATCTCACCCTAATCTTATTTGGGCAAAAGCTGCTATTGCTTCTGGAGCATAGAGTTGAACATATAATCCAAAGAGTTTCTTAGCTTTAATATTTAAATGTTGATGTTCAAATTAATATTACAAATACCAATAACTTTGCATTATTTAATTGTTCTTGTGCTTGTCTAAACCCTTTGAGTGTGTTACCAACTTCTTGTCCTAAAAAATGTTCTGCAGTTCAGTGAGTTCCACAGTGACTGTACAGTGTGTGTCTCATATCAGTTTTTAATATCTGACTTCATTTAGCAGTCTCTTTTTAACAGATAACAAATTCCTGATCCAAATTCTTCGTAAATTTTGCATATTTGTCATGGCACAACTTATTTTTTCAGACCTCCTGTCCAAACAAAATACCATAATAAGTAGTTAATTCATGCTAATTGCTGTCTTGATCTTGCATCTTTCCTTCTGCCATATATTGTTTTAAAAATAGTAGTAGTAAAGTATTAGCGTATATGGACCTGATTTTTTTTTTTTTTAACCTCCGTAAACTCAAAGAACAAGAAGGACATAAATCTCACTGGAATTATTAGTACCATAAAACACATTCTGGTGAAAATTAGGCTCTTGAAAGTACAGACTATTTTGACTCATGAAATATCTTTATTCTGAGCATCTCATATCAATTATTAAACAGTTTGCAGTGCCCTGTGAGACATCTAGTCTCTTTGACAGATTAGGAAATCTCAGAGAGATTTAGGTCTAAATTTTAAAGATCTTTAGATTGAAATCTCCCATGCGGCTTTCAGTGCCTTACTTCTACCCGTTCCTTGTGGAACCCACAAACTCTTAATTAGTCTCTTGAGCACCCTATGTACTGCTGGGGGGCAAAACATTCATTTTAGAGGGTAAGCCACAAAAAACAATGCACAGAGGTGGAAGCACTTTTGCTAATCAACAAGAGACAACTTAAAAAGGGATGTTTTCTAAGCCTACTTCCTCCTGTGTATGCCAACATTCAGACTGTCTTCTCTCTCAGACCATTTAGCCATGAGCCCTATTCTAGATTAAGATGTTTAAGTGAGTGTTTTTTTTATAATATATCTCTTTGTTGTGTGTGTTAATCACTATTCTAGTGACGTGGAACTCAGGAGGATGGTTCAGTCTCTGCTAACAGATGCTCAGCATAGAGTACTTAGGGAACTTTAGTGGCAAAAAAAGTAAACTGAAAATTAGAAAAAAGCTGGTGAGCATGTGAGTAATCAGCTCACTGATTTTTCAAAAATATCTAAGTGATTGTTTACATCTTTGGGTGATTGAATGTCTTCATTGTCTCAGCTTTCTCAGTGACAGGACATGAGAGCCATAAATGGAAATCCTCCAAAATTACTGTCTCCCATAGTGTCCCTGTTGTACTTTTGCTTCCCAGAATGACTAGGCAATGTTCATTTCCAAAGATTACAAAGGCAAATGGAACCCATAGGGAGGGAATTATATTGAAAATTGTTAAACGAAGCTGAAAGTAGGTTATAAATTACATCAGTCTGTACTATGGATAGCAATTGATATTTTAAAATAATTCTGCACTGAAAATCTCAGAGGACTTTACATCAGTTTGAAAGTTTGCTGAAGATATTGAAGAACACTTGACAAAGGCAGACATGGTAGCCATCACTATGGAATAACCTGAGGAAAGTCCAGTTTCCATTAAAATCAATTACAAAAGTCCCTTCGGATCCTGCCAGGGTTCTACAGAAACCCAAAAGTATAGTGCGGTCAGAACAGATCAGATAGATAGAAATTTATAGCGATGAGATTGTGCATTATATACTTAACATTATGACAATTCTAGTGCTTTTATCTTCCCACTACAAAAATGGCAATGGTAAATTAAAATCTCCAGTGGAGAGTGCAAAAGGCAGATTCCTGATGTAACCAAAAAGTAGTCTTCAAATTACTCTTCAGGAAATTGCTGTATGAAGCTCACATGAATATTCTGATGATTGTGGTACATCAAAGTTATTTTTCTAATATGCTGTTGTTGATAGCAAAATTCTGTGGTCTAAGACTGAAGATTTATATTCCCAGAAATAGGGAAAAATATTATTCGGAATAAAGGTTAGAGTATACTTGAAATTAAGAAATTGGTCTTATCTGAGAATAAATCATACCATTGAAACTGGTAAGCAGATTCTTTACATGATATTTTTCCTTTCCAGGATGTGATAGATTTTGTTTTTTCTGCTGTGACACCAAAAATGCCAATTTTAGAATGTATGTACATCAAACAAGCTATTGACCTCCTACAGGTAGATATGACATTCAGTTTTTCTCTCTCTCATTCTGTATTTGTGCTGGGACATTGTTCTAGGAGGGCAGTAGTTACATATTGCATCTGCTTTGCAGGGTTTGTTGTCCGACCGAGATGAGAAGCAGCTCAGCGAGGAACATATTGCTCGCTTGTTCATATTTGCTGTAATGTGGTCAGTTGGAGCTCTTTTGGAACCGGATGACAGGCTAAAAATGGAGCTGTTCCTACGGAAGCACTCTGCAGTGAAAGAACTTCCAGCTGTGAATGGAGAAGAAACCATGTTTGAATTTGGTATCAGTGCCTGTGGCCAGTGGGAGCACTGGTCAAAGAAGGTTTGTATGCCGTGACGGGCTAAGCTTTCTTAATGAGTATACAAGATGTATTTGGTAAAAGCATATTATTTTATTATTTAAAACCCTGCATAACTTGATTAGGAAGATTAACCCTACCAAATGCTCAAGAGTTTCTTTTTTGAAAGATTTTTTTTCTTTTATCCATAAATATCTTTGGCAGAGAACAGGAAGATGCATTTGAAATAGCCTTGGAGGTGAAACAGAAGTGACCTTAGCTTTGTCTACTGTCTATTACCCTACTTTTAAGAACTCCCAGTAAGAAAATCTTTCTTCATGTAACACAGAATAGTAGAGTGGAAAAATCACGTTAGTCTAACACTCTTTTAGAAAAGCTTGGCAAGGTACTGAAGGAATATAAATGAATGCTTGGCTTTCAGGAAGATAAGTTTTGCTAATGTACATTTTATAATGTACATTTGGGTTTGTGTTCTGATGCAAAGTGATTATGTGGCCAGGTAGAAAGTCTCAGACTTTTTGTGTGTCTTTCTCACGCAGGTCCCTGAATATATTTACCCTAAAGATTCAGTACCAGAATATACTTCCATACTGGTTCCAAACGTAGACAGTGTCCGAACAGACTTTCTAATGCACACTATCATGAGGCAAGGAAAAGCTGTTCTGCTAATTGGGGAACAGGGAACAGCAAAAACAGTTATGATTAAGGTAGGTGGAGTGGAAAAACATGTAATATCTTTGTATGATAACACTGCAATAATTGACATTGGCAGAAATGTTACATTGGAGTATAAGAGTAACTTGATTTTTCTTCAGATCACATACTAGCATTCTTACTGAGGCATTTTGCCAGTACTCACATGGCCTATGAGCAAAAAAACATAAGTAGCTATACTTCAGTATAAAAGGTTCATTCAAACTTTGCTAATGTTTTCTTTTCTTTTGAGAAGTCAAAGTGGAAATTTTGCTAAGAAAATACTGACCCTTGGAAGACTTTTTATTTCCCTGTGCTTTGTCACAGTGGTGCCATGTGTGAACTGATCTTTTGTATAACCTTGTTGCACAGTTTCTTCACAAGCCAAACTGAGGAGAAATAAAGAACTTCCTTCTTTCCACCAGATAGGATTCACCTTTCTCAAAGGGGCATGAGGGTCTTAGCACAACACATAGTTGGGCTCGTTGTCAGGGCTTTAAAATAGATTTGAAGGGGGAGGGGGATAATATCAAGATTAATCAAGACAAGCTTAGAGTACCTGAAAAGCAGCAGAAAGGAATTCCAGATGCTCCAGCCAGTAAGTCACATTCATCAGGGGCCTAGCTTAAATGCCTCTATGCAAATGCACGTAGCATGGGGAATAAACAAAAGGAGTGAGAGGTGTGTGCGCACCTGCAGGGATATGGTCTTATTGGCATCACGAAGATGTGGTGGGACGAATCCTATGACTGGAGTGTTGAAATGGAAGGATACAGGCTCTTAAGGAAGAACAGGCAGGGGAGACGAGGAGGTGTCATCCTCTATGTCAAAGACCAGCTGGAATGCATGGAGCTCTGCCTGGAGATGGATGAGAAGCCGACTGAGAGCTTATGGGTCAGGATTAAAGGAAGGGCAGGGACAGGTGACATTGTAGTGGGGGTCTGCTACAGACCACCTGACCAGGAAGACCAGGTAGATGAGCCCTCTATAGACAGACAGGAGCAGCCTCGTGTTCACGAGCCCTGGTCCTCATGGGGGTCTTCAGCCACCCTGATATCTGTTGGAGGGACAACATAGCAGGGCACAAGCAATCCAGGAGGTTCCTGGAATATATTGGTGATAACGTCTTTCTCCAAGTGATAGAGGAGCCAACAAGGAGAGGTGCTATGCTGGACCTCCTTCTCACCAGCAAGGAGTACCTGGTGGGGAATGTGAAGCACAAGGGCAAATAAACAAACACAAAAACAAACTCAAACAAAAAAAAAGGAAGCCTACAGACGGTGGAAGCAAGGACAGGTAGCCTGGGAGGAATACAGAGAAATTGTACGAGCAGCCGGGGATCACGTTAGGAAAGCTAAAGCCCTGATAGAATTAAATCTGGCCAGGGACATCAAGGGGGAAAAGAAAAGCTTCTATAGGTATGTCAGTGATAAAAGGACTAGGGAAAATGTGGGCCCTGTCCAGAAGGAAATGGGAGACCTGGTTACCCAGGATATGGAAAAGGCTGAGGTACTCAGTGACTTCTTTGCCTCAGTCTTCACTGGCAAGAGCTCCAGCGGAGCAGCCCAAGTCACAGAAGACAAAGGCAGGGACTGGGAAAGTGAAGAACCGCCCACTGTAGGAGAAGATCAGGTTCGAGACCATCTAAAGAACCTGAAGGTGGACAAGTCCATGGGACCTGATGAGATGCATATGCGAGTCCTGAGGGAACTGGCAGATGAAGTTGCTAAACCATTATCCACCATATTTGAGAAGTCATGGCAGTCTGGTGAAGTTCCCACCAACTGGAAAAGGGGAGCCATAACCCCCATTTTTAAAAACAAAGACCTGGGGAACTACAGGCCCGTCAGTCTCACCCCTGTGCCTGGCAAGATCACAGAGCAGATCCTCCTGGCGACTGTGCTAAGTCACATGGGAAAAAAGGAGGTGATTCGTGACAGCCAACATGGCTTCACTAAGGGCAAATCCTGCCTGACAAACTTGGTGTCCTTCTATGATGAGGTTACAGTGTTGGTGGATAAGGGAAGAGCAACTGATGCCATCTATGTGGACTTGTCCAAAGCATTTGACACTGTCCCACACGACTTTCTTGATGTATGGACCACTCAGTGGATAAGGAATTGGCTGGATGGTTGCACTCAAAGAGTTGCGGTCAATGGCTTGATGTCCAAGTGGAGGCCAGTGACGAGTTGTGTTCCTCAGGGGTTGATATTGGGGCCCGTGCAGTTTAACATCTTTGTGAGCGACATGGACAGTGGGATCGAGTGCACCCTCAGCAAGTTTGCTGACAACACCAAGCTGTGTGGTGTGGTTTACACACTGGAGGGAAAGGATGCCATCCAGAGGGATCTTGACAGGCTTGAGAAATGGACCTGTGTGAACCTTATGAAGTTCAACAAGGCCAAGTGCAAGGTCCTGCACATGGGTCAGGGCAATTCCAAGCACAAATACAGGTTGGGCGAGAATGGATTGAGAGCAGCCCTGAGAAGGACTTGGGGGTGTTGGTTGATGAGAAGCTCAACATGAACCAGCAATGTGCACTTGTGGCTCAGAAAGCCAACCGTATCCAGGGCTGTATCCAAAGAAGCATGGACAGCAGGTCCAGGGAGATGATCCTCCCCTTGTTCTCTGCTTTCTTGAGACTCCACCTGTAGTACTGCATTCAGCTCTGGGGCCCCCAGCATAAGAAGGACATGGAGCTGTTGGAGTGGGTCCAGAGGAGGATCACAAAGATGAGAGGGCCGGAGCACCTCTTTTATGAAGACAGGATGAGAGAGTTGGGGCTATTCAGCCTGGAGAAGAGAAGGCTTCAGGGAAACTTTATAGCAGCCTTTCAGTACTCAAAACGGGCCTCCAAGAAAGCTGGAGAGGGACTTTTTACAAGGGCATGTAGTGATAGGACAAGGGGCAATGGCTTTAAACTGGAAGAGGGTAGATTTAGATCAGATATAAGGAAGAAATTCTTCACTCTGAGGGTAGCGAAACACTGGAACAGGTTGCCCAGGGAAGTTGTGGCTGCCCCATCCCTGGAAGTGTTCAAGGCCAGGTTGGATGAGGCTTTGAGCAACCTGATCTCAAACTGTTCTATCTATGATTCTATGACTCTTTACTCAGGGTAATTTTTCAGAGGTTAAATTTAGTGTTTATTATCTGCTCTCTTAATTCCTTCACTGAAAAGGACTTTTTTTTTTTCTGTAAAAAAAAAAAAAGAAAACCAAGATCGCTATTAAATTAACAAATACATGCTTTCCATATTATAAAATATCATATGACACTTAAAAAAAATAATATCTTACTATAGAAGAGCCAGTATTCAAAAGGCTGAACAGACCCAGGTGTCATACCAAACTGCGTATCCCTTATTTGAAGAATTGAAAGTGTGATGGTTTTCAGCATGGTGTCTGTGATCTCCAGGCGAATCTGTAAACTTTTTGATGAATAAGAGGCAGCTAAATAAAGCTAATCTACTGTTGGGACGGCTGAATTTGCCATACAGGCATCTGTACCTTCAGTGGAGGATTTGCAGAGGTCTTGAAATTGAAAATAACTGAAAAACACTGGCCTAAATTGACCTTTGGCTTTTTTAAAATCTGGAGCCATTTTGCATCCCTTAGCCGTGTACTTTCTAAGCCCTGACATAAAACAAGTTGTACCGATGCCAGCCATTAATACTACTTTTTCAGCTTAGCTGTTGATGCCAACATGCATGCCGGTGTAATGTCAACTTCTGTTCCTGGCACCAGTGGAGAACTATTTTAGCAGAGTGAAGAGGCGGGGTCTGGGTGGTGGTCTTGATATTCCACATACTGGATTTTGGCCAGATACTGGCAACCTCCAGCCTTCAGCTGCCATTCCTGTTCCTAAAAATAGTTGGAGCTGATTCTTGGGAGTTGCTTACCCTGTGTCTATTCTATAGAGCAGAGTATGTTCCTTACACAAGGGAGCATAATGCCAGTAGATATTTGATCTCATTTAAGGTTAGGAGTGAAAGTTAACTGCCTTCACAACTGTTCCCCTTCTGCTTTCACCTTCTGTAGAATTTTGCTTTGCTACACCTCGTGAAAAAGAAATTTCCAGATATATGTAGCTGGTTTAATGAAAAAGTAAAGACACTTCAGGTAGTAATCTGAATTAATCTGAAGTAACCTTCAGCATTGGGTGAAATATCAGTATATATGAAAATAAAAAAACATGTAACAGAGTGTTATTTAAGACCTTAAGTTTCTATTAATTCATGAAATGCAAAACCCCCAGAATTTAATGTGAAACTGGTGCGGTAGAGTTGAAAATTGCACCCAGCATCTGACAGTTTAACTAACAAAAATAATCCCTTTAAATAACCTCTTCTTTTTCAAAGATAGTTCTCATTTATATACTGTGGAATGTTACTGTTACTATGTAGAGATTCTGAAATGCCGTAACAAATAAATCACGAGTGTGTTTTTGAATGGTTGTGTATTCATAGT